AGTAGGAAATCAACTTTTTCAAGATAAAAATCTACTCCTAAATTGTGCAGTTCACTTATATGGAATCAAACAATCAAACCTAACTTGTGGGGATCACAACGTGTAGATTAAAATCTGCTTTAGAACTAGGACTAACACCTATCAGCTTGTAAACTGCTTTTGTTCTAGCTTACCTGGTCATAAAATAAAATTTACAGTGTTTAATAGGTCTGCAGGTGCAAAAAGCGTTCTTGATTTACGAGAGTTTCTTTTCTCAAAAGTAAGCTGAGTGATTTGCCAACTTTTATGACAATTACCAAACAAATCATCTGGGCTGGCATTTGGTGTGACTCGACAACCTTTTGAGTTAAGCCCAAACGAGAAACCCTAAACCCAAAGCAGAAAATTTACTTTGAGAAGCCATTGGCTTCCCTTCCAGAAACCTCATACAAATCCAGAAAAAAGGGGTAAGAAACAGAGAGCCGCAAAAGAGAGTATTATTTTACCTACTACCTACGGTGCGTTTCAAGTGGTCCTGCAGCTACCATTTCCATTATCAAAGACTTTTTGACGACGATCTTGTTTGTTTCCACTTCTCATCATGTTTGTCTTAAAAATTAACCAGACTACTCATTCAGAACTTACAGTAGTTTTGACCTTTTGTATTTGTTTGCTTGAGGGTTTATTAAAGAAACAATATTAAATGCTGAAAGTGAAATTTACCAACCTTGTTTTCTCATAGCACCCTCTTTGTCTTTCATTTATTATTATTCAGTTACTGATCATCAGGTTTGACAATGTAGAGGGAATATAACACAAATTATAGAAGAAAATCATTTCAGAATCACAAAAAATAAAAGGTAAAAAATACTAGTAGAATATATTTACCCATGCAGTGTCTTCCAAAGTTTACATAAATAGGAATATTTTTACCCTAAGCCAATAGTATTACTTGAATTTAATATATAAGCATTGACCATTACTTCTTTTTCTTGTTAATGCTTTTTACCTTTATCTTGAATAGAATTAAAAATAATATTTGTAAGGCTTTTAAACTTTTGCTTTATTTCGTTAATTCTTGCAATGCAAGTCTTTCGACATTTCCTTGACACCAATGATTAGTAAAATAATCATGATAAAAGTAAGCAAGAGGAAGAGATAAATTAAAGACCTGAATCTCAACTTGGGCGTCATCTCTGATCTTGCGTTCTCGACCTAGGCTTGTCCCACCCTTTTTTTTTTTGTTTTGGTTCTCTGTTGTTTTCTACCACTTCGACCAGTATCCATTAAGGTCCACAACGAAGAAAGCATGAAAAGATAAAGGGCCCAAAAAGCAAAGAAGAAGGCTAACACGGCGCCCAAAATAATTGGGCCTGAAAATAGCCCAAACACATAATAAAATTAATAATCAATTAAACCAATATTTTGATTAATTGATTAGAGTATGATATTTTTATTTAAAGAAGAGGATTCAAATCTGTCTTTTTAACTAAAAAAAAAATCTAAATTGCTAATCAGTTTAAAAGAAAAACATAAGAAACGTGTTAAAAGAAATATTATTGCGTTTTTTAGTGAAAGAATACAAATTAATCAGAAAATAGGAGTGGTTTCACTGAATAGAGAGAAGAATTTGTAAAAGAATGGCGGAAGTTGGACATGGCATGTATCGGTCGGAGTGCTATTGATCTTTTTACCGTATAGGCATGGTTTTGTGTATTTTGGGCAAGCCAACAGGCCTTTTCCATCTTTTATGTATCAAAACTTTTTTAATTTATAATCTTTTCATCCATGAATATAGCAGTAAATAAACACTCTTCAAAAAGAGTTGATGGCAGGATAATCGATGGAGACAAAGGTGGAGAGAAGGGCTAGTAAGGGATCAATCCTTTTTTTATTTTTTTTTTAAAATTATAATTTTATCCTTATAAACATTGAATTTTTTATTTTTGTCTTTTTAAACAAAAAATTCTAGCTCATAGCTAAAGAGTGCATCACTAATATGGAGTGGAGAGTTAGAGCCAGAGGCTGCATCACTAGTGTTGGGTGGAGAGTCAAAGCCAAGACGACATCTGTGTTCGAAGAGTCGGAGCATCACTAGTGTCAAGTGGAGAGTCAAAGCCATATAACACATCTGGGTTGGAAGAGTCGAACTCAGAAGTGGGGACAACACCCTTCGAGCTAGGGGATGAGCTAGGCAAGAAGACAACGACAGCTCGCATTTGCTTCATCCCTTCCAACATGAGCGTGAGAGTAAAATTTACATTTTTTTTATACTTTTATTGATTTCATATATCAGTCCCCTTAAACATAAGTTTACTTTGGAAAAAATGAAAACTTTAAATTTAGCCTTAATCATGGAGAAGGACCTTTTTTCTGCCGAGTTTGTAAATTGATGGTTTGAAGTACCATTACAAAGGCCTTCGAGATAGAAAAAGTGCGAGCAGCTTTATTATACAGGAATCCATGCAGAAGTTTCGGACGAAGAAGATGAACTTCGTGTAGAAGTTTCGAAGTTATAAAGGTTTCACTTTTAGTCAGTGTTTTTGTTTTAAAATGTTGCAAGGTATGACATTTACAATCTGTAAGCCATGTCCCTATAGCCAAATTGAAGTTTTCCTCCTCTTGATGAATAAAGCATTAAAGGCCATCTCGTAAAAAGACTTTGTTAATTATTGAATCTCTATCTTCATGTTAAGCTTAAAAAGAGCAATTAATTATGAAAATTTGTTATGTCTTTTTTCCTTATTTTAGTTTGATTTTGAAATATTTTTTATTAACAGATGAGATTTTGTACATATTCGATATACATGATGATGTGATAATTACTATAACTTATGCTTAACTTCTTATTTTACTTATGTACCAGAATTTTTTTGACCTATTTGGAAAATCCTTTTAGTTTATAATCTTAAAATTTTATTTGCTAATTGTAGGTTATTTTATTAGCCATGCAAATTAAAGATGTTGAGCAAACAAAGTAAGGATTTAAAAACAAAGTGAGTTTCAAGTGCTCTTGTAGCTACGATTTCCACTGTCAAAGGCTTTTTGACGGCAATCTTCTTTATTTCCACTTCTCATCATGTTTCTCTTAGAAATTAACCAGACTACTCATTCAGAACTTACAGTAGTTTGACTTTTAGTATTTGTTTGCTTGAGGGTTTATTAAAAAAACATATTTAATGCTGAAAGGGAAATTTACCAACCATATTTCATCATAACACCCTTTTATTATTATTATTATTATTATTCAGTCACTGATCATCAGTTTTGACAATGTAGAGAGAAAAACACAAATTACAGAAGAAATTCATATTCTTTTGACGAATAAGAATAAAGTGTACAACAGGGAACTGGTATCATTTCTTCTATTAACATAACAAGCTAAAGCTTAAGGATGAGCTCATCTAGTTAATTAATTAAGCTGAAGTCAAACTTGTACCTGTTTTTGATTTGTTTTACCTCTATTTATAGTAATACAAGTAACTAGATTATTCACCTTAATTACGAATTAATTATGAAACTTTGTTTAAAGTTTGCATCAAAATTGAATACTATAATATAACGAGTATAACCATTGATTATTATTGTAATCATTATATAATAAAGTCATCGTTTATTATGCACTTGTTTTGGACTGAGCTCAAACTTGAAAGAAGAGCCCAAGTTTGACGTTTCCCGTTTCTGAAACGAGTCCAGCTCAACTTGTACAAGACAGTTCTGACTTCTTGTGAAGACCTTCTAACTCATATTTGTCATCCAAGGACCATTGGGTTTTGCTCTGGATGGAAGTAACAGTGACTGAACTAAACCACCGCACGAGCAGCAGCAGCTTCCTGCTCCATCTTGATCTTCCCGTCTCACCACCACTTTCTCTGGCTCAGATAGCCTGATACCGACCAAGGCTTCATATTGGCTTGATGAAAAATTCAAACACATTGCAAAACTCTGTAGATTATTTCACTATGCCATGGGTTTCTTGTTGCTAATATAAGGAGTGCGAGAACATTGCCAAGTAGGTGTAGCACACGCTTCACGGGCGCCTGTTGCTTTAGAAAGGAGTAAAAAGCGAAAAGAAATATAGATTTAAGGAGCAAAATGGATCATTTATCGTACTATCAAAACCAAAAATTCAACTTTATACGCACAGCTAATTTGGATCTAAAATGAGGGAGGCAAACAAAAAGGTCGGCGCTTTAGTGTGCTGCTCCCTGGCCCAAATTATTAGAGGATAGATCACTCGTAGACAATCACCGTGATTAATTAATGCATTAGAAAAGACACAATTAAGAAGAGTTGGGAACTAAAACTAAGAAAGATACACTTAACTAAACTGGAGAGCATGAGGGACCCCACTTCAGCATGAACCAAAAACCACAAAAAGAAAAGATATAGTTACTGATGGGTAAGGAAAGATTGAAAAGAAATTATGGCAAACAGTTGAAATACTATCTGCTATGACCCCATCATAAAACGAGGATACTTTTTCAGAGGTGATGTCACTCTTATCATGGATGGCCAACCACAACCATCGTGGCCTAAATTGTCTGTTTCCAAGAGGGGAAGGAAAAGTTGAATTAGATAAATAAATTAAGCTTAAACTTTTCTTTTACATTTGTGATTCATATATGCTGTTAATACCGCGATTTCTTTAGCCAACGGCATTTTTACCTTCTTGTTTAAGAAAAAACAATTTCTTGACTAAATATCTGAACAATAGAAAATCTGGGTTTCCTTGTCTTAATTTCTAAAACAATAAAGGCTAGGCTTCCCATCAGGACAATACCTGAAAAAGATTGCACTCATCAAAGTAAATAAAGTAATGCTGCCTACTTCCTAGAACCGGATGCCAAACCTATGGATGCCATGGAATCAGGTGGCCTAATCTTGGAAAATAAAACATTACAGCATACAAGTGAATCCTAACTTTGATTGTGAACCCTTTTGGTTTTCATCTGTGTTTGCTTGCGAATGCAGATTAATGTGCGGATGGGAAATAAGTCAATCTTGGAAAGAAGGGGAAATCACAAACTAGGGTATAATCTGCTAAATAAATTGTTGTAACACTGTAAAAGTATTAAGTTATTCATACAGAAACAGTGAGATGCCTTTAAAGAACTTGAATCAATCAGATACACTTCTCATGGCTAAACCCCATTCCCAACTTTATAAGAGAGAGCCCATTCTTTTCAATAATCAGTAATGACTAGGCCTGTAATTTATTAACTAGAAAATGCAAAAAAAAAAAAGATTTCTTGCCAGTAAGGAAATCCCAATCAAATAAAGTAAAAGAAAATGAGCAAACGTATATGACAGAATTATTCTGCTTCAGCTTAAAAAGGTTCACCAGAGCAATTCAGAGTCAAATCCTTCAAAAAGAACATGACACAGAAAAAGTATTAGAAGGTCTTACAAGGGCTGGCTGGTAATGGATTTGGAAACTCTCATTTCCACTCATATTTAGCACTGATTACTTAATACTTCACCAAGCAGTTATGCACGCAAAAATATTGGAAAAGTGCATTTTCAAGAAACGAGCCCCCTCCAAGTAAAACTGGCACATTTAACAGTAGTTCATGAGAAAATCAGCATAACTTTTGTTTATCATTTAGGAGAGAGGGGGTGTTGAGATTAATCCTGTTACCCCCATTTTATTATTTATAAAAGGAAGGTAAAAAAACACACCAATAAGCAGAAAGACAACTCGTATGAAACCAGAGTTCAAAAATTAACAAAAAGAGTGGTCAGGAAAAATGGACAAAATTAGAGGTCAGGAAAAATGGACAAAAATAAAAAGGCATCAATAGAAAAAGCTTCCTACAGTCTTAATTTGAAACAAGGTCCCTGAGAAACTAACTAGCCGCCATAAAAAATTATGAAAGCCTACATAATCTAACTTTCAAGAATTAAGACAGACAATTGAAATGATATTAAACTCCTGTGGCTACTGAAACCCAAGTTTCCATTATTATTACAGGGAATATTATTGAAAGGGATGTAATCTAAGGTAAGACAATAATTATTAATGACAACAAGCACCTATGGAGTAAGATATGATAGCAAGTGAATCCTGGTATTGATAGAGCCAACAAGCATTACACTTATTTAACCTTCAAAGAATGATACTGTTTTTGACAAGTACCAAGAAGATCCTAGATATGAAGCATGGGCTGACAAAGTCTTCAAACTCAGGCTATGCAAATTTTTAAGTGAGATAAAGAGTTTATTCTTGTGAAATGCCATGAAATTTTGCAAAATCAAAATGCATAGGCAGCAGAAAGATTTCCCCATGACAAAATCTCAAATTGCCAATGACAATCAAGAAAATAAAAGCTAAAAACATATCATAAGGGGTGCTGAAAACAGGAATAAAAAAATGCAACCGACTAATAAATTTTAAACCTTATCAGGTGCTCCACTTGAAGCTCAAGGGAAGAATGCAGTGCCTTCAATAATAAATCAAGTATCTGATTAGGGATTGCAAATTAACTATACAGCTTGAAACTCTGCCCCCCACCGATGTAGGGAAGCCTGTCAAACATTATAAGCAATCAACAGATTAGAGAACTTACAAAGCCAAGAATTCGGCATGCTGAAATAAAATGCCTTGAAAGAAATTTGCTCTATTTCATATCCATATTTCTGTTCAAATCTGATGTCTTAAAAGACTAGCATATAAAAAAAAAAAAAACCACTAAAACTCTATCCCTACTTTACCCCTTTGCGCAACACAAAAGAAATTAAATATCTTTCTTCATACTTTTCCTTTTTCTTTACAAACATCATATTTTCATTATACCTCAAAATAGAGGTCTCAACGTGCCATACCCTACAAAGCTCCCAGATATTCCAAATTCACTAACACCATAACCATCCCCTGCAAACACCATCATCAAAATATTTCAGCTCCGGACATGAAAAAATAACCGAAAAAATCCCAAAATAAGTAAAAACAACATTAAAACACATAAAAGGTAAGAAATTTGGTGACAACCTTTGTATCCGGTAATCTGTTAAGCATCTAAAAGCAGATCTATTTCTGTACAAAAAAAAAACAAACCAAAACAAGACAAGTTAAAACCAAACTCAGTTATCAGCTAATGATCCTTGGAACAAACAAGTTCACATGAAAATTTAGATTAAACGAGAGACCTTAACAGGAGCGTCGGCAACACGATAAGCATCAGCCGTTGTACCAATCAACCATAACCCAGGAAAAACAGTCTAAAAAACGAAAAATAAAAAGATTAAATGCTTATCGTAAAATCAAGAACAACAGACTGAAAAAAAACAAAAACACAGAAAGATTTGCTCTTACATCAAGCTGTTTCTGAATATTCTTGGGCCTTTTTTTGGGCCTTCTAGCGGGCCTTGAACCTGTCATCACAAAGATATCTTCTTCAATCTCTTCCCTTGATAAAGCTATCCAAAACTTCCTCTTTTCTTTCTTTTCTACAATCCCTCCATTTTCAGCCAAACCCCTTAATCTCATCGACTTCGGCGCCGCCGTTTCACTCACCTTCTCCATCGCCGTTGGCACCACCGCCGTCGTTTCAACCACGACCTTCCTTGGCCTCAAATTCCACGGTCTCTGCACCGTCTCCTCCTCCTCTTCTTCCTCAGCTTCATTTTTTTGCGGCTTTAACGGCTGCTCTTCTTGTTGTTCTTCTTCTTCTTCACCGTGGCTTTGTTTGATGGGTTTTGGTGGGGGAAGGAAAGATAAGCGTTGAATGCGGGTGGAGCGTGACCCGACACGCGTCGGTCGAAGACGGTCGTGGTCCGAGTCGGATTCAGGAGAACGTCGGTGGTCCGCAGTGGAGGTGGAAGAACCACCACCTCCGTGGGTCCCCCATTTAAGAAACGGAAAGTTGAAATTGTGTAAAGGCTGAGACTTTACTGGTGCAGTTGCCATCAAAATAATAAAACGAAAACCAACAAAAAGAACAACTACACATAAACGACGATGCTTCTTTGAAGCTAAAAAACACAGAGAGAGAGCGCGGTGGAGGAAGTGGCGGACCAAAGGAAGAGCAGCCAAGGAGGAAGAACTATTAATATGTTTGTTGAAGAACAAAAATTTTGCGTAGGTCACTTATACAAAAGCGGGAGCACCCGGGTTTTTTCCGTTATTGCATTTTTGACCTTACTCTTTTATTTATTTACATTTATGTACTGAAAGCGAGATGCTACGCTGGTGTTTTACATTTTGACGGTTTTGTGACGTTTGATTTGCATATGTGGGTGTACGTTAATTTTAATCGTCCGATTTACCGACTTTATACGGTTTCCATGTAGGAACCATCGACTGTAAAATCAGAGCGCTTGAGCCAATAGAAAATTAAAATATATATGTTTAACTAAGAATAATTGAAATTTAAACAATTTTTAAAAGAAGCAAGATATAAACTTTATATTAATAGCAAATGTGATCTTGCTGTTAATATTCACTTACTCTTTCTTAAATTGTTTCATGCAAATATTTATAAATGATGTTGATATAATCCTAATAACAGGTAGTCAATAATTAATAAACAAATTGTCAAGTAGTTACAATAAATGGTTAATGCTTTATGATTATTTATGGATAAGAATTTTTTTTAAAAAAAGGGATAAGAATCATGATAAGGCACTTAGAAACTAAATATATCTTGTCATATACATAGACGAATTATTCCCTTATTATTAATGATCATTTTTTTCAATTTTGATTGTATAGTATATTTGGTAATTAAAAAATATTGTCAAAAATTTATCTCTAACGCATGAGTAGTAGGCCAAGAATAATAAACCATTTTCTAAATTTATTAATTAGAAAAGAAAACAATTCTTATTGTTGTCAGGGGTTTAAAGTTGGACCCATCTATGGTTATATAAATTCCAAAACTACAAAAACAAGTATATCAAGGTATAAATCTTGTATATATTTGGTCAATATACATTTCTACATAAAAGTGAAATTTTTGTACTTTCCACATTTATCTTTTTTAAAAAATTAATTCTCGTTCTAAATATTCACTGCTTATTAAGTATTTAGAAGAAAAAAATTCAGTTTCCTGTAGCTAATAATTTAAATATATGTATAACCTTTTTTTTAATGAAAATATGGTTTTATATATTGCTAACCTGCAATTTGCACTAGGAATATTGTTTTGTGTTTCTAAGATTAAATTATTCTAATTTTCATTTAAACTGAAAAAGGTAGCGAATACAGATAAGCATAGAGAACAGCAAAGCTTCTACAAGGAACAATTGATAAACGTTCCCTAAGCATTTCTTCATTTCCAAACTATCCTTTGTCCTACTGCAAGGTTTGCTAATCGGGTTTTTCCTTCGCATGAATTTTGTATTTTGTAGATATAATATTTAAAAAATAAAAAAGTTGAATTATCAAAAAATTTAAATAAATTTTTATTATTTTATTATATTCAATTACATTTTTATATATTTTTTAAATCAAATAGAGTAAATCATTTATCATTTTATACTTCATAATATTGATATGACATGTTAATATATTATAATTGATGATGACTATGACATAATAATATGGTACTTTTAATATTTTATGCCAATACCATGCTAACATAAAAAGATAAATGATATTTTAATTAATAATAATTAATTTGACTTATTTAATTAAAAATACATATATATAAATTTAATAAAATGTATTCATAACATAGTCAAATTTTTTTAAATAATTTGGAGTTTTTTTTCAACCATTATGCCTATTTTGTATTTTATCAATTATCAATTTTTTATTTTGATACTTAACTTGAAAATAAGTTGGGTTAACTAAAAAACTATTCTTAGTACTTGTTTGGCTTGATTTTTTTTTTTCAGTTTATTTATCTCTTAAAAGTAAAAATTAGACCAAACAAAAAATTGAAAAAGCTCTCAAAAAAATAAGTAATTATTTTTAAAGAATAAAATTTTGATAAAAAAAAAACTTTAGAAAAAGCTTAAGGGAGGAGCTTTCTCTCATCTTTTTTTAAAAACACGTCTTTTTTTTAGAAAAATTTTTATTTTTGTTTCAAAAATGTCTTCATTTATTAAAAATAATTATAATATTATTTATTTTTATTTTTGTATGATTTATTATTAATTATAGATTTTATGTTATATAAAAATACTTTTTATACTTTTTATAAGTAAAAAATTAAAATTAACTTTTCTTCATTATGAACAAAACAATTTGTGATTAATAGAAAATTATTTATTAAATATCTTTTACGGTAATTTTAATCAAAATTAAAACTTATGTAAATTATTTTACTAAATAACTTATTTATAACAAAAAAACTTATAAAAGTAAATTACCAAACATATTTAACTTAATTTTAAAAGTTATTATTTTTTATAAGAGTTTCATAGTAGCTTTTAAGTTAAAAAAATTAAGACAAACAGGTACTTAATCTACCAACTTAAGAAAAAAGAATAGATAAAAAGGAAAAAAAAAAAGGCAAGTGGGGCTTAACTTTGACTAATTTATTTTTGAATTCTTATTATTAAATTATACACTGTCTACTTCCAAAAAAAAATATCCACTGTCATATTTGATATATTTTTCGGCAAATTTGTGTTAAAAGTTATATCAATTAAATAAAAATTTCTTTAATCCAAAAGAGCTTCCTTTTATGCTAACTTTATATACCAAATATGTATATTTATATATGTTTAATTTGATTCAAGTCCATCAACACTTAAATTTATTTTTAAAATAAGATAATAATTTCAGGAATAAAGTGGGAATAAAGAACTTTGAAGGATGAAAGTGATAAATAATTAAATAAAATAAAAAAGTTAATATTTTCTATGTTTACGATGGAAAATAAGTAGTCTATTTTCTTGCTTCCTGCCTTTGGCTTTTCCACGAAGGCATTAGGGAGAGTCCAAACTTAACCCATCAAAGAAGTTATCATTTTCTCACGTGAAATTTCCTTTCGGTTATCAGAGGTCGTAACATACACTTTTCCTTTTTTTTTCGAATCAAATTTTCACGAGAAACAAACAAATCTTCTAGCTAGATTCCAGCCGATTCAAAGAGCAGTATTCCTTTGACTTTTTGGAATTTTCTTTTCTTGTATATGTATTTCAATTTTCACGTTTTGGGCCTTGCACACTTAATTTTCTTCTACTCAATTTTCTAATCATATTTGACAACTTCCGAAGTCCGAACCTCGGGATTAGTCTGTTCCCATTTGAAAATCTGCCAATCAGGGGCTAATACCATGATATTATATCTGACAATTTTTTATATGACATAATAATACAATATAAATAAATTTTAATTTAAATTAATTATATTTTATGTATTATCTTAATTGTATCAAACTTGTTTAACTTGTCTAAAATATAATTAATTAATTATGTTATCATGTATTTATATAACTTATAATTTTTTTATTATTTAATCGTATTTATGTATTATGTAGATATGATTATTACATAATTAATACTCAGTTATTGATTTATATAAAATATTTGTATGATGATTAAGATTTAATAAAAATATTATTAAATTTTATTATATTTGATAAATATTATTATATTTATAATTTTTTATTCTAAATTTGAATAATAAAATCATATTTTACTTGTACCTATTTTAATTTAATTACTCTAATCATATTAATTATATCAATTATGTGTCAATCATATTAATTGTGTAAACAACTTATAAATTGTATAAATTTTAATTGTATTAATTGTATCGTACAACACATTTAATAAATGTTTTAACATTATTGTATTGTGTAACACATTTATTAAACATATTAGTGTATCTTATGTTTACACCACATGGAAACACAAATTGTTAAGTTAATTTTTTATATTTTATTTACTTTTTTTAGTGTTATTGTTATTAAAAAGTTGGGTTTCTATTTGTAGGAGAAAGTAAAGAAACAAGTTTCATTTGATAGGTGAGAATGTGGTATGATTGATTGGTAAATTATCAAATGTACGTAATAAATTGTATTTAAGGTACAAAAATAATTAAAAATTATATACATGTTGAATATAATATAATAAATCATATTGATTATATTACAATGACATGAAAGTATTTACTTGAGATTTAAATATAAAAAACATAGTGATTACCATATTTTAATATAATATTAAAAAAATTATTTACGGATGTTTTTAACAATTGGGATCTCTCTTTATATATAAAGAGTTTCGGTTCCATATACGAAGGCTCACAAAATTTTATTCAAAAGAGAGAGATTTCACTCCTCAACAACAAATTATATTTAATTTGAATTTAACTTGAATTAAAAAAGTCTTTATTTTAATTTTTGAGGTTGAATTAGAGATAAAAATACTATTGGTCTTTAAAAATAAAAAATTAAAAATTATTATAGATCGAAATTTAAATCCAATCTCATGTAACATTAGGTTTTTAAAATACACACATGGGATTCATGACATTTTATTATATAAAAAAATTGTAATATTTTATATTATTTAATTATATCAATTGCATTGACTCTTTATTGAGATAAACTTTTATTGTATATTTTATGAAGATCCCATATCAGTAAAGATTAGAATATGTTCTTATGTCATTTGTCATAAATGTAACTTTAAACTTTAAAAAAAAAATTTAAGTAAGTTTATAAATTACAAAGTTATTTTTTAAAAATTATATCTCATAAATAATAAAAAATTTATATTTACCTATCTAAAACTCACTTCAACATTTAATAAGGTGAATTTCGTGATAAAAATACTATTGATTAGAAAAAAAAAAGGAAGACTGCACCTTCCGATGGTGTGTGTTGACCCTATCTTGTGTCTGGCGTCTCAAGCTCCTCAAAACCGGTCGACTAGTCAGTTTTTGTCAACTAACGACAGGGATTAGCCCTCTTTTCTTCTTTCGTTTTGATTGTAAACCTTTTTCTTTTTTTTTTCTAAATAATGTATAAAGTTTTTGGGTACAATAAGGATCTTATATTTTTTAATAAAAAATAAAAAGGTTAAGGCCAGATCATTTGTTTGATTGTGGGCTGATTCAATCATTGATATAAACCGAATAAATACTGGGCTTGGCTCACCTGACCGACCCGACTCAAAACCCATTTTTCGTGTCCATGATTTCGAAAACACCAAATCGGCATTCGCATCTCCAAATTCAAAAAACATTTCTGTCCCTCAAAATTTTTTTTTTAATTAAATTTTCCGCTCAATTAGCCCTAAGCCCTTGAGCACACTTTCAAGTCTCAAGCTTCACTCACTTTTCATCATTTCCTCTTCATTTTCCCAAACAAATCCTTACCAAAACTGACAAACGAAATGGAGAAAACCGAAATCAACGGTCCGATTTTCCCTTCAAGCTCCACAAGTAACGTTCGCGCGGTTAGATCGCCAGCTTCTCCTCTTCAGCCTAACTTCAGTAGCCGAGCTGTTCAGGTACCTATCCCTGCAGGCTGCAAAAACCCTAACTCTTTGTGTTTCCTTAGGGTTTTAGTTTTTTTAAAAAATTATTTTATATCTTTTTTTGCTGCTTTTAATGGTACTGTAATAAGGTATTACGTTCACATTTGCTCGCATATAATTGATTGTCTTAGAAACTTTTTTTGTGTGCAAATAGTAGGGTTTTAGGTTCTGTTAATTTATTTTTTTAAAAATTTAGCTGAGGTGAATTTATAGCTTATGTAATGATAGAATGTATTATTATATAGCTTGGGTAATGTTTACCGGAGATTTATATTGTGAAAAATTATATTTGGTTCTAATTTAAATTTCAGGAAGCTTTGGAACACTTAGCTTCCGTCGACCTTACTGAGTTATTCAATGAAGCAAAGGTTGAGTACTGCCGAGCAACTAGAGATTTAAGAAGCTGTGGACGTTATGTACAATATGTGTTGAACTTGTGTGGACATGCCTCATTATGTGCGGAGTGTAGTCAACGGTGTGATCTTTGTCCAATTTGTAGAATTCCATTGATAAAAAGTGGTAATACTAGAATTCGCCTTCGCCTTTATGATGAGTGCATAGATGCTGGCCTCATTTCTAGAAGATGTGATGAGAGGTTTCAAGATAAAGAAGATAGGGATAATCAGCTGACTGCTGATGTTCAACGTCTTTATTCTTTTCTTGATGTAGCCTTGGAGAATAACTTGGTTTCTTTGGTTTGTCAATGTATCCTTTTACTGTTTTTTTATGTCAAGTTTTAGTATATTGGTTTGTCATTGTATCCTTGGGCATATGTTAGAAATTCATGTTTCCTTTAACAGAAAAAAAAAAAAACAGATGTCACAGATATATGTATGGATGAAACTGCTGTTTCCAGTGATGCTGTCACTGCTTTGTTGCTGGATGAGAAGGTTGTGAAGGATTGGGTGAAGCGGACATTTAAAAACATCGCAATAGAACTTCAAGGGATATGTATCCTTATAAAGTTTTTGAAATTCTTGGAGAACTAAACTATTTTGGTAATTTGCCCATGCCATATATGTTGGGTGTTCCCTAACTGTTTTTATCAGATTATCTTGAGGTAGAAGAGATGAAAAATAGGTTAGGTTCCCTTCTAAAGTTTTCAGTACATCTGGCCGGCTTATCCTGCGTACTTGAAGTTTTGGAGTCATCTTTCAAGGGCCGTCTTTTGGCACAGCTCCATGACTTGCACCACCTTCAAGAGAGTATATTGAAGTCAAAGCAGGTTTGGTTCAAATAAGCGAACTTTTTACCAAATTTTACCATCTTTCAGTTGCAATACGTTTGTAGCAAAGTCTCAGAACGTGCAATCTTGAAAACCAACTAATTAAAGAATGACCGTAGATGGAGTGTAGAATTTGTGAGAAACTAATCAATGTCATTTGATCATTGTACTTATCTGAACCTCTGGTGGTAATGCTGCTCTCTGTATCTCTTGTCTTTGAATACTATACATTGTTGTGCCATTAACATCATTAAAATTCTCATTTTAGCATGTCAGTGGACAATTGAAGAAAGAGTGTCTGAATAAACCTTACAGCTTATATAGGTATTCCCGATTATGCAATTATCAATATTTTCTGACAGTATTTGTTCTAAATTTTCAGCATCTTGAGATAGCAATATGGTGTATAAGGCATCAATTCTTGGAACATGTGGGGTCTCGTCATGCTAACTTCACATCCTGGCGTAATCTTGTCCGTGAAAGGAAATCAGCTGCAATTAAGCGTGCATGGCCTGATGTGGTAGATCACTCAGCCGACCCCACCGGACAGGCTGGTTCTCTTTTCATTGAAGATGCACTAGCAAATCTTGAAATGGAGCAGGCATATGACCAGGAGATAGGAGAAGAGTCAGATTTTCCATTTTTGCAGAAGAACGGAGCCTTGCCCTTTTTTAGGTCTAAAATAGAGGGAATGACAGGATGTTATCCATTTGAAAACCTCCGAGCTGCTGTGGACATACTCTTTCTATGTGGTAGTTCTGATTTGGTGGTTGCAAAGCAAGCAATTGTATCCTTGTCTTTTTGATGTGATTTTCATTTAGGGTTCTTGTGTCAATTGGACATATTTTAGTTAGGCGATTCGTATAATTTTCTTAACTGAGATGCAGTTACTATATTACCTGTTTGATCGGCATTGGAGTATGCCGGAAGAAGAATGGAGAAATATTGTGGATGACTTTGCAGCCTCCTTTGGTATAAGCAGGCATTCATTACTTGAATCATTCACTTTCTGTCTTCTGGATGATCACTCAGATGAGGCTTTGCTGGTAATTTCTATAATTATTCTTGCAAAAGCTTGTTGAGTCTAAATGCCTATTTTTGCTTGTTGCCAAGGTGCTGTACGCATTTCAGATTAATCATATAAACTTTTGCCTATTTCATTTGCTCCTTTAACTTCCTGTGACCTCCTAATTAAAACAATTGGTCTGATTATTACTATCGCCATTAAATTATACGATGGTGTGTAGATTGGTAGGTGGCTTTCCAGCTTGTGTAGAGAAGTGACTTTTGCAGTATAGCTAAATGCTTTCCATTGTAACATGAATGCTCAAACTTTGACATAAGCTGTACCTGTACTGACAAGATGTGAATATAGTATACGTTTGTTACTGTATAGTGGATTTTACTGTTGCTGGTTAAATCTCAAACTAATGGGTATTATGTTTTATGTTTGACCACTAATTTTGTCCATAGTAGGTTCTTTTGTTTTCACCCAGAATAAATGGTCATTTCTTTTTTTAATTGTGAATGCGCAAGCTTTGACATAAGCTGTACCTGTACTGAGAAGATGTGAATATAGCATACCTTTGTTACTATATAGTGGATTTTACTGTTTCTGGTTAAATCTCAAACTAATTGGTATTTTGTTTTATGTTTGGCCACTAATTTGTCCATAGTAGGTTCTTTTGTTTTCACCCAGAATAACTGGTCATTTCTTTTTTTAATTGTGAATTCTAATAGACTAATATCTAGGTGAATTAATATAGTTCCTCCAACCCCGCTCTCTGCCCAATCCAAACGAAATGTTTTGAGTTTAAAGAACCCAAAATAATTATTTAATTATATTATTGTGGTCCATTGTCTTGTATGGAATCACAGTGCTTGTTGAATTTAGGGGATGCTAGTAAAGAACTATTTTCTGTCCTTCCAGCTATGCTCATTCACTCTTAATATTATTATATGTTCTGATTATTTTCCCTAAATCATATTTCTTAGGAATGTCATCAACTTCTTCCAGAGATCTGTGGCCCAGCAACTCATCCTAAGATTGCACGAGTTCTGTTAGAAAGGCAGAATCCTGAGGCAGCTCAAATGGTTTTACGTTGGTCTGGTCGTGATGGTGGATCACAGTTGGTTTTGCTTAGTGAGGCTGTCACTATTGTTCGGGTGAAAGTGGAGTGTGGGCTTTTGACTGAAGCATTTACGTATCAGCGAATGCTTAGTACGAAAGTCCGGGAAAAGAAGTTCAACTATGGACCAAGTGGGGATGCATTTGATGAACTGAAAGGTGAATGCAGGTCCTGGATGGACTGGATAGAAGTATTGGTCACTGAATTTTGTTGTTTATGTATTCGGACAAACTTGGTAGATCGAATGATAGAGTTGCCGTGGAACTCTGATGAGGAGAAATATATCCACAAATGCCTGTTAGATTGTGCAACTGATGACCCTTCAACTACTATTGGAAGTCTCCTTGTTGTGTTCTATCTTCAGGTAAATTACAGAATAATGAAAGATTAATGAAGGGATATCATCTTGACTCCTATGTCGTTAATGGATGTCTAGATGTGTACTGCATGGAATGGTGTAACATTTAGGTTGGGCTCTATGGGGTAAAATGGAGGCTGTATATTGTTGGCTACTCATCTTATGTTTATGCCTTTCATTGTTATCATGATTTATATTTTATAACTGTTAGATGCTATATAGTTCTCTTTATTGTCTGATACTATGGACTGCTCATCACTTTCAGGATTGCTTCTTTCTAGGTTAAATAGATGATTATTACTATGTATTAATTGCAATAAATTTTATCCCTGTATTGCTAGAGCTTATGAACTTGTTTTCTGTTACTAATCCAGCGTTATCGATATGTTGAGGCATATCAAGTTAATCTTAAACTTTGGAGCTTGGAGCAAGACTTCATTTCAAATGATTCTGTCAATGAAGAAGTTCTATCCAGAATGGAATCACAACGTCAGAGAAGAAAAGAATTGGTTGTAAGTGCTTTGAACTTTGAGGGTATTCTCATTGCTGCTATAAAAGTAATTCAATTCTGTCACTTTTTATCCGTTTCTGTTTTTTTTTTAATGGGCGGGGGGTGGGTGCTTCTTTCTTCATCTTTATGGCTTTGGATTTGATTTTGTTTAATAAACTAATTTAAGAATGAATTTGTTTTCCATGCTTGGTGCAGTTTAAAGGGCAGTGGTAGCAAATAGCATGCATAACGAAACTATTGACGTCCTTACTTTTTCTTCAACAGGATAAAGGTATAGAATTGCTGCCAGAAGTCCTGCAGCAACAAGTAAAGACTGGAACATTGTCTGATATAGTGGTTGCTTCTGGTAAAGAGGATGAAATGCCAGCAAGATCTAGTCTTCGCGAGTTGCAAGAACCAAAGTCAGCCAGTTTGTTGGTTCCCTCCACTTCTGATTCCATTTTTCTACGAACAGACCATATGGCTACTCCTTTGAGACCGCCAGTTTTTGAAATTCCTAAAATATTTGGTGGATATGTCAACAATTCTTACGTTCAAGCTGGTAACCAGGGATCTTCTTCAATTCTCCAGAGGAGGTTATTTGCAGATGCAGAAAGAGTATCAAATGTTGAAGGAAAAAACATCAAATTTGATGACATCTCAAGTCCTGGAATTCGTCGTGCAAGTCCCACATATGCTACACCATTAAAAGGAATCAGTCAGAGTTCATCGAGAGAGCTTCCAAACAGACATCTTCAAGAAAAACAATCTGATAAAATCATTTCAGAGGGCGAGCAAAATGGGTTTGTTAACCAAATCCGCAATACAAGTCCTCCATATTCCCGAAGGGTGACAGCTAATCCTGTATCAACACCTAGCAATAACTATGGTTTGTTTAAGGGTTCTGCAAATAACCTGCGTTCAAATATTTCTAGTAAGAGGGGCCAATCAGATAGAGATGATGGACATTGGAATGTGCCTCCTACAGAGGACTTAATGGATGTCTCTTGGAGGTAAAGATTTTTAATTTCTTTTCTTATTCTCTCTTTCCTTTGCAACACTCTTATGTTAATTCTCTCAATATGGTTCTAGATGTCTTGATAACTACAGATGGGTGGAAATTTTACCATATCATCTTGTCACCTTGTTTCTCATTTTTGGCATATTTGCAGCCATGGAGAGAGGTCTTCTGAGGACAGAAATGCAAATGTGGGGCTGAGATGGAGATCTGATGAAACTAGTGATGAGGAAGAGCACAGTCCAGAGAGAACCGTAGAAGTCGGTGCAACCCCCATGAGGGGACATAGAACAAGGAGATTTGCCAGAAGATGAAAGATCTCATTGGCAATGTAATACGCCATTCTCTTATCTGAATACATGTTCTTGCCCTTTTCGTAACGAATGAACCAGAAGTGACCAAGTGACCCAAACCTGTAAATATGGGGGAGAGTTACAATGCTCATGTTTCACAGTTTCTATGGGAGAAAGGTCCAACTCTGCCGTTTACTGGTCTGGTATTCGCAAATATCACAAACTCAGAGAAGCGGGGCAATGGGCCATGGTTGTCTTCTAGACATCATGATGAAACCAAGTTTTTTGATAATTGAAGGGGGATCAATTCATCAAGGATCACCCATATTTTTTTGTATTTTTTTTTTTTTCTAAAATTGAGCTCAAGGCAGCATTTTTCATAGTTCTCTGTTCGTCGAGCTGTAACCTAACTTTTCTATCTTTTTATTTTTCTTTAAAAAAAGAAAAAAAGGTTTTGCATGCTGAATTAGAGAAAGAATGTTAGTCAAGGAATCAAAATCGACGACGTATTCGGTATATGCTTTAAAGAGTAAGAAAAAAAAGTTTATTTAATCCTTAGAATGTAACCGACTTTATTATATATATAATTTTCAAGTTTTTTTATATGTAAATATTTATATATTTGAATATTTAATTTAATGATAAGTATTTACATTTTTATATTTTTTTAAAAAGAAAAATCAATGATAAAGTAACGGAATAAGAATTAACAACTAATATGTTATGAAAAGATATAAAACTTAATTAATCAAAATAAAATGAAATAAAAAAATGATATATAATTACCCTTTATTTTATAAAATCAAGATCTCTAATCAAAATCTATGCAATCATTTTACCTTTTTTGTATAATTGTCTATATATGTATATGAACAGCCCCAAAACTCCGTACCCAATGCAATAGAAACCAAAAAAAAAATATGTCTGAAGCTCTTCAACTCCCCACTGTTGACTTGTCCTCACCAGATTGCATCTCAACTGCCAACTCTATCCGTCAGGT